GACACTGTCCCGTATTTTTAAGACGTCTGGGAATTAATTAAGGAAGTTATAATTTTTAGATGTAAATAACCGAATATGCTGTGTCGATGCCGGTAAGAAAAACCGTTGTGTCTTCCATGGCATAGCCGCATAGCCGAATTTTATGTAAGGTAAACGCTTAATTTAGGGGGATCTTTTGCATTTGGTGGTTTACCCAAACAAAAATTCTTTTGCCTTTTGCATCTTTCTGCCTTTGGTGTTTAACGGTATTTATATCCTTTGGTTTCAGCCTTTTGCATCATTGTAAACTACGGTTTGTAAGTAGATACCGTAATTTTGAGCTTTTCCGTAATTTTTTTGCTACTTTCCGTTTCCTTAATTATAAGGGGGGATATTTTCTCGGTTTCCTGTAACTGCTTTTCCGTAGAAACCGCTACCGATTCCGATTATTTACAGTTCCCGCTTAGGGAAATTAGCTCGGAAATTGGTGTGCGCTTTAAGTTAAACTGGAGCATACCGTCGCCACCCGCATCTTGTCCAGAAGACCCAAATCTTCAGGTGGCGCCCGAGGCACTCCCGTTCCGAGGTTTTCTGTCGGTTTTTTTTGGATTTTGGAAACTAGTAGAGATAGAGAGACGATTGAATGGAGAAAGAATTGCTATTTTACCAGCTTCGTTTTCCGAAAAAAATGCATAGCTAACTAGATATCGTAAAAAAATCGTATATATTAAATAATTCTGTTATTATTGGCTTTAGAAAAAATGTGTAAAGAGAAAAGTTGTAGATAATTATGGGCTCGATAATATGTTATTCTATATTACCATGAACCCATGTATTATACATCATATAATTTAATAGTTATCACAAATTAATTCTTTTTTTAAATTTTGTCTGTTATTCCATTGCACAACATTATTAATATGTTAAATATACTTATGAGTGGGTAATGTGGAAGAGCAGATCAGGCGTATCCTCGTCTGTATCTGAACATCGCCCGATTTAGTTGCCCTCTACTTATTATACTGTAATTGTGTTAATTTTCTAATTTTTTGTTTTTTTGTTTTAGTTGACGGGTTAACTAAATAAAACCATTATTATTATTATTATTATTATGGTCGGTGTTTCTTGTGAGAACTCAGGTCTAGCCTGGTTAACTAATCGCACGGATTAAAATCAAGTAACGATTAGTATCTGTGTCTGTGTCTGGTGCAGTGTTATGTAGGGTTCTTAAAAAAAAACACGTGCATTGGCAATCTAGGGATAGTATTATTATTATTATTATCGGTGTTTCTTGTGAGAACTCAGGTCTAGCCTGGTTAACTAATCGCACGGATTAAAATCAAGTAACGATTAGTGTCTGTGTCTGGTGAAGTTATGTAGGGTCATTAAAAAAAAAAAAAAAAATCACACACGTACATTGGACATCTAGGGATAATGTAATTCGTACTTACCAACATACCTATTGATGGGCACAATAGCCAATGCTATCAGGAAAGAGGAAAACAAAACAAAAAAAATCATTATAATAATTCCTGTAATTTTATTAAATGGAGTTTATTGTGTAAGTGTTTCTTTGGCTTTGCGTTTGGGTTGAATACGAGGGGGTTGTGATAACGTGGTGTGCTTCTGTGAAGAAGGAGTTTTGTGTTTTTTAATTGTATTTATGGTGTTTCTTTGTTCCTGAGGTCGTATTTGTGAGGTTGCTTGGGTTTTTGGTGGAGATATTGCAGTATTTTGTGAGCCTGTGATGCTGTTAAGGTTTTTGAGCTTCGGTTGTATACGAGTGGGTTGTTTCTGAGAAGTAGAAGTATTGTGTTTTTTAACTGTGCTAGGGCGTGTAACTTTATTGGGTGGACCTGTCTTTGTAGTGCATGTTGCGTTACTTGTATTTATGATGTTTCTTTGTTCTTGAGGTTGTATTTGTGAGGTTGCTTGGGTTATTGATGGAGATATTACAGTATTTTGTGAGCTAGTAGTGCTGTATAGGTTTTTGCGTTTGGGTTGAATACAAGTGGGTTGTGATAACGTGGTGTGCTTCGGTGAAGAAGGAGTTATGTGTTTTTTAATTGTGCTAGGGCGTGTAACTTTATTGGGTGGACCTGTCTTTGTAGTGCATGTTGCGTTACTTGTATTTATGGCGTTTCTTTGTTCTTGAAGTTGTATTTCTGTTGTTGCATGGGTTATTGGTGGAGACATTACAGTATTTTGTGAGCCTGTAGTGCTGTTAAGGTTGTTGCGTTTGGGTTGAGTACGAGTGGGTTGTGTTTGTGATAACGTGGTGTGTTTCTGAGAAGAAAGAGTATTGTGTTTTTCAGCTGTGCTAGGTCGTGTGGGTGAGGGCGTCTTTGTAGTGCGTGTTGTGTTACTTGTATTTATTGCGTTTGTTTGTTCAGGAAGTTGTGTTTGTGTGGTTGGTTGAGTTAAGTTTGGAAATATTACAGTATGTTGTGTGTCATGTGAGTCTAAAGTGCTGTTTAGGCTTTTGCGTTTGGGTTGAATACTAATGGGTTGTGATAATGTGGTTTGCTTCAGAGGTGAATCTCTGATTGTAGTATATGTTGTATCATTTGTTGTACTTGTTTGTTCGGCAAGTTGTATTTGTGTGTTTGTTTGGGTTAGAGGTGGAGATATTACAGTATGTTGTGTACCGTGTTGTGAGGGAGTGCTGTTGTTTACATGTATACGTTGTGGATCATTTCTGTATGTAGTATCTTGTGTGATGTTTAGAAATTTACGAACAATATGGCATGTGTTGATAATGACTGCTTTTTGTAAATGTTTGTATGTGTTTTTGTCTAAACCTAATAGTTGTAAATTGTGGTGTTTTGTCTTTGGTATAACTCCAGTAGCACTAAGAATAATGGGAACTATAACAGTAGATTTCATTCTCCATTGCGTCTTAAGCTCGATAGCTATATCGGTGTATTTGCGGTGTTTTTCTGCATGTGTTTTAGTTAAGTTGTTAGTGTTGGGTATGGCAATGTCTATAATACAAATGGATTTTTGTGTTTTATCTATAAGTGTAATGTCTGGTCTATTATTGTGGATAGTTTTATCTGTGAGTATTATTATTATTATTATTATTATACAATATATTCAAATTGTTTATTTAAGCTCTAATTTTTCAAGTTATGACATAAGTCTGTGTTTTTTCTAATGGAAACCGTAGTTGGGCATGACTTCGCGTATTTATACTCAGTATTGAAACAAATAAATAAACACACTTTACCTTATACAAGGTGAGTTTTCTCCCTATTTAATCGTCTCTCTATCTCTGCTAGTTTCAAGGATCGACCGCGCCTTTCAAGAAATTTGACGAGTGGAATTTTTAAAGAGAGACTCTTTCAATCATTTAGTAAAATTTTGTGAAAAGTATAAAAGGAATTTTCCACTGCAAGCAATATTTGTGTAGGAAGTTAGGTACGGGAAGTTTTCCACTTAAATTCAATATTAAGTACTGGATATCTTCTAGCTGAGTTAAATGTATAAATTTTAAGTTTTCCGTATTTCCCATTGTTCACTTGAGGGGGCTGTATTGTATAACTCACGTGACCACGTAGAATATCGTAGTATTAAAATTTCGTATACTAGATGTTTCAATGAACAAAGTGGTCGAAGGCGATAGAGATCACTTCTTAAGGGTTCTAACTGTTTCTTTAATGGTGATTCAGGTTAAAAGATTTTAAAGGTCGGTATAAAATATCGGATGGCCTTTCAGTGAAGCTTTTTACAATGAAGTTTGCAATAAAATATAAAACGGTTTGTGATATTTCACGCAATTTGCTTAAACATTTTTGGTGGAAATTTCTGGCCATACAGATCGGGATTACCCTACACAAGTTATGCAACTATTTATTATATGGTTTTGTCTCGGGTTTTGCTCTAATGTGTATATTTAGCAAAGGTAAACCATTAATTCTTTTATTCGCAAAAAATTAGTCGACCAAACAACAAGGCATATATATGGTCTTAATGTACATACATAATCCACATTGCGTTCTTCTTCTGTGAATTATCATTTTCAAGGAACTGTGCAAAAGTTGAGACATAGGTAAATTGTATTTGTGTAGAAATAGTTCTGTAGAAACCTTGAAGAATAAACTTTCGGGGTCATATATGACATATTGTTATGTCGCTGACCATTTAACTTCGTAGAACGAGATGTTTCACGGTAAGTTCATCATATCACTGTAGGTAAACATACTCGTGTATAAGGTTTCTGCCAGCATCTTTTTCCTCAAATGACCATTGATTAAAGTTCATAAATCTCTAAATCGTTGGGGGTGTCTGAGCCGGTCATTTCAAATGTCTAAGGTCAGTTTAAATCATATTATAACAACGAATTAAATTTAATAAGCAAGTAATGTAAATGCTACAAATACATGGCAATAAAAACCGCTTTACGGAATTGTGAACGTTGTTTACCTTGATATATACACGCCCTTATTAGCATTAAATTTTATAAATGCATCCTCCTTAAAATTTGAAAGTGGAGTGAATCGCGCAGTGCTAGTTAGCTCATCAAAAAATTTGAAATATTGCAAAACTGCTAGTCCAATTACTTTAAGTAATGCATTTCTAGATGGTATGAGAGCCTATTTAATATTCATAGCAAATTGTTGACTTGCAGTAGTTAAATAATCGAATTTAATTAGATCAATTATGTCATACTAAAAGAGGAGTACCGCATTTCATCACCGCTCAGTATGTCAAGAAACTGCCGTATCGATGACACACATTTCCGTAAATGTAACAAGCACTCGTCCAGACGGACCCAATACGGCGTTGTGCTAAAAGCTTTTAGTTTTCAATAGCTAATGGACACCATAAAAATCCCATCTATGTGTGAAATTTCTATAATTAGGTACTAGAATAATTGACCGCATTGCTTCCAGTTACCTACTAATTAGAAGTTGATAGGAAATCGTGGTGGTCTTCGCTTGCCCTTACCTTTAATAGGTAACGAAAGTCGCTTTTCTCACAAATTACATTATAAACAAATAAAAGAAAAATATAAGTACCTTGTGCTGAAATTACTTTTATAAATCCAATTAGTAAGTATAATGCTCCAAGATGACAATATTCTTTTTGAAAAATTCTTTCCCACCACATCGCTAATTTAAATCACATAAATTTCCAAATCACCATACATCACTCTTAACTCATTCTAAGTAACGAAACACTAATTACGCTAATTGAAAGTTGCGACGCGCGAAGAACGTAACACAAGACATTCAAGTGTTAAACTAAAATATGAAAGTCTCCGGTAGGTATACAAAGGAAGGTATACCTTTAAAACAGTAGACAGGTGAGTTCCCCCACGTAATGACGTCAGAATTTGTCTTTCGTTTGGATGAGTAAAAATAACGGTTTTTTCTAGCGATCGAAGAAACCCCTCAGGTTGTGTGTTATTACTTAATTGCGGTAATGCAAAGTACACGTAAAGAGGGTCGTGTACCTCAGAACCATACTATGCTCAGAATCCTTGAAAAAAATCAAAGTTGTCTGCTTTTTGGAATTGTTTGCATGCTGAATTTGATGGATCAGTTTGTAGGTTTTGATCAGCCTTATAACGCTATGGTTTAGGTTCAAGTGCAAGTTCCTTTGATCACAAGCAAAGCATCCAGATCAAAGAACAGTGTTCAAGGATTTGACCCAGTACTTTTCGCTTACAACTTAAAAGTATACAAACAAAAGTAGGTACTTCCCAAACTTTGTACATTTCTAAATAAAAGTAACTCAGGAATAATTTATTCCCAAACTAGTTTCGTTGGGTTCAGGAAGGTGTTAGACTGAACAACATAAACTATTTGTTTGTACCTTCGATACATCATGAATTTAAGAATCGTTACATATAATCTTGAAAATAATGAGTTTGTTTAGCTTTCATTACATTACAATGGACCGTTTGTTCTGTGAACTGGTCCAAGTGACGAAAAATTAAATCAAGCAACTCAAAAGCCGCTCCGTTTAAGTTTATGGTCACATGTCGAATTTACAAAGAAATCAGGGTAGAATATAAATTAGGGCCCCTAACTTCAAAAAGCGAAGTGTACATAGGTGTGTCTACTTTTGGTAAAATCGCAAGTTGTAAAAATTGTTCAGTTGAAACGGTCTCGCTGAATAACTTTCATATACAATTTTAGAAATTTATTGTCATTAGTTTACCTTATAATAAGAGACTTAGCTCAAAGGTTGACAGTCTGTATCACATGCCCTTTTTATTATGAAAAAGTCACAGTAGTTTGTACAAATCAATTTATTTCAATGAGACCTTTCATTACAATACCATGAAGGGTAGAACGTGCCTCCCCCCCCCTTCATTTTCAAAAGTTTTACTAGGCACGACTAAAGGCAAAATCTGAGAGCAATTAGTTGTCGTATCTCGTACATGAAACTTTCACTTTCAAAAATAGCATCTCAGGAAATAATTTATCCCCCCCCCCCCCTTAAGACAGCGAAATGTAATGGCTGTCTCACACACCTTCAAGGTATAGGCTACCTATTGCAAAAAAATTCCAGAACTTTAGGACCATTCCCCAAGAAGTATAGTTCAAAACGGCAAAAGTGGGTCCGGACGGAAGGACAAAACGCAAATAGCACTTTTTTTATTTAAATAAAATGCGCTAATAGCACACAACATGCTACCGGATAATATACTGCATCTATTAGCCATAACACAGTTGGCTTCTCAAAGACTAAAAGGCACACTGAACTGCATTCGATTTCAAATGATAATATCTATAATATCAACTCCTTAAGCATTCAAAAATAAATAGCAAATGTCTGCAAACTTAGGTATTATTTATGGGATGGGAATACATTCTGGTTTCGTGTCGAGGTAAGGAATTTTATGAGTAGAATTTTTAAACGCTTCAGGGGAGATTTCATGAATCCCTTTGCAAGTCGACGAGATCCTGCCGAGTTTGGCACAACCCTCGCACATTATTGCCTGCTTAATTCACGCATTTTCCCCAAAATTTCAATGGTTTATTAAAATTGACAAGTCTGTCTGTCGCCTTTTGGTCGATATACTTTATGCCGAACTCGCCTTCGGCTCACTCGGCATTTGTACAACGTAGATCTTGCCCTTGCAGTCCCAATGGGTTTGGTTTTACGCAGTTGATACATTATGCTCTCCGAAAATTGCCGAACGAACCGAAAATGAGTTCGGCATAAGCCTCAAACAATATCGCCTGCTTAATTCAGTGATTTTTTTTCCAAAATTTGAATTTCTTATTAAAATCGGGATGTTTGTCTGGCGGACCTTTTCTTTTCAGTCCCAATAGGTTAAGTTTTCTCGTCGTTTGTACATTTCGCCCCCCGAACTCCCAGATAATATTGTCTGCTTAATTCAGGAATTTTCCCCAAAAATTCAATTGTTTATTCAAATCGAGAAGTCTGTCTGTCGCTTTTTGGTCGAGATACTTTATGCCGAACTCGCCTTCGGCTTGCTCGGCGTCCGTACAGCAACGCGACCCAATTACCTTACCCACTGGCGTATTAACCTATAAGCCGACAAAGCCCGGGCTTAGGGCGCTGGAATTTTAGGGGCGCAAAAAAGGAGCTAACAAAACTATCTGAAAAATCAAAAATGCCTATAAAAGATCAACGTATCGTAAGGCAGGGGCGCGAGACAAGATACGTAGCAGTCTAGCACGCTCATATAGATGGAGACAGCATCCCCGCAACCAAGCGAGCCGGATATTCTGCAGTGCCACTTCGATAATTGAAACCTCTGAACCCTTTGAAGCACATCCCTAGTGATATTGGTGGTTTTTTCGAATCATTTATTGTTTCTAAGTTTGTTTCATACACTCTATTTTTTGCAAACCCCTATCATAAGAGAAAAAGTCGAGTGGTGTAAGGTCAGGAATGTGTTTCTAATGAAACTGGACAAGGGCTGCAATTTAAAAATTTTGGGGTTATCACCCCCCAACAAAACTCCCCAGTGTATTAAAGTTCTAAACGATCTAAAATGCAATTTTTATGACCGGTTAACTTGATCCCGAAATTGTCAGATTTTTTCTTTACTGATCGTTTCAAACTATTATATAGCTCCATCCCGGAAACCCTGTATAACTACGTAGGTAGGTACTTATATATATTGTTGATGGTATTAAATTGAATAAGAGCGGCTATTAAACATCAATATGAACAACGTTTTTTATATCGGTTTCTAATAGACCGGGAGGTAGTGTACATAGTAACTAAACCATAAGCGACAAAAAATTCGACAATACAGGCTGAAAGTACGTTGAAAACTAATAATAAAATCACTAGTCTGCCAGTCGTAAGTGGCAGCATTAACTTGGGGCCTCGCTGAATAGGTGACTTCTTTAGGTGATCAACTAAATTACCAAACTATTACGGTCACGGAAAAGATTTGCATCAAGAAATCCCATTTTTTCCATAATTTTCAAATATGCTATGGTAGACGATTTCAAGTGCAGCGTTGGTAGCGAAAGACGCCCTCCAATGTAGGGAAAAACACCCCTGAACTAAACCATGAGGACCGTATAAAAATTATTCATAAAAAATTCCTCTTTTTGTCACTACTTTAAAATATATCCTGGCAGACGATATTAAGTGTAGCTTTAATAGTGGCAGACGTCTTAGAAGTTAAAAAATTTAGTATAGTAAATCCCAGCGAGTGCGAGCGTGTGAGAGATAAGCGCGCGAGAGCACAACGAACAGAGATAGCTATAGATTTACGCACCGCTTGGAGTTACCAAACGAATTAAATTAGGGCAAATAATAAATTGTTTATTTCGCGATAAGATTGTCGGTATTTCTTGAATTCTTCTCAGACTGAGAAACAGAAAACTTGAAGAGAAAAGAAGATAGATCTTCAGCTCGTTCTAAACTATCCTCCGACCCCAGTTCCGTTGTCTCTATGCAACATTGATGGATCGATGATTAAAATCGATAAGTTTATGTTTTGCTGAAACTTTTTCGGAAGTATGATTTCTTCAAGTGCTCCTAGTCCATCGCCAGTTGTAGATGTTTTAATCGATGGATTATTTTTTTTGCATCTTTTAAAAGATCTCCGGTAAACCTTTGAGCGATTTTCTGAACACATCCTCGGCAAGATTTGTGCTGTGTCAGCGAGAGAAGTACATCTTACTTTTGACAGATAGTTACCCCTTCCATGAAGCACGCAGAACATGATCGTTGGGATCAAAATAAGGAAAGATTACAATCCTACTCAATTTCTGTTTCCACTCAGAAGCAGCCTGCAAATAAACCACTTCGCAATGATAGCTCAAAGCCTCTCTTATAGATTACTTATACCGTTCATAGGCAAAAAAGACCTATTGCGCTTTACTTGGAAGGAAAGTTGTGTTTGCCACATATGAAGATAAGTGCTATAAATTTGTGACAAGGGAAGATGATGTGGTAAAAACTGAATTGTGCTGCAGTCACTAAGAGGCAGATTCTCGAATAATTTACCATCTTGGTAAACTACCAACAAGTAGCAAAGTCATTATTAGCGCTTCCGATATGGATATTGCTGTTATTGCTTTGGAAAATGTAAAAGTGACGCTACCATCAAGGTATAGATGGAAGTAGGTCTCTTTTCCAATAACACGCAGAAATTCATAAATCTTCGAGAGATGTTCGTGAATTTCGTGAATTAATCAAACTAGGACAACAACTAACTACAACTTTAAAAAGGCAGATTTTTACAAAATGTATTTACGATTTCGCGACGCCAACTGGGAATCCCTTACCCAAATCGATTACAAATCTGTAAACGACGCGGTAACTACTTTTTATGAAATTGTATATACAAGATTTTTGATGAATGCGTCCCAAAAGTAACTATCAGGATCACAAACAAGTACCCCATTTGGTTTGATTTAGCTATTATCAAGAAAATTAAATTGAAGAATAAACATCGCACACGAGGCAAATCGGAAGAATTTAAGGAAGACCGAAAGGAACTCAAAAAAATGATCCGTGACGCTTATAAGAAATACATTAGGAACATTGAAGTTGACCTCCGGAGTAATTCAAATAAATTCTGGGGCTACGTTAGGTCCTTGACATCAACCAAACAACTGCCGGAAGTTTTCGAGTACAAAACCATCCCGCTGGAAGATCCCAAAAGCATTGCCGACGCGTTTGCATCGTACAAAGAGGAAAACCTGGATCCGAACGATGGGCTTGAGTCGGACTTAGTACAATCCAAATTGCACTTAACGAACATACAGGAAAGTGAGTTACTAG